GACGTTCGCCTTGACGGATGAGATGAAGGCGGCACGCTCGGGGGACGGGATATTGTAGTGTTGGTACACATGTGTTGGCACTGGTGGGCTTGTGGACTATTTTGTCCAGAGTTTGGGGGGAATATCGGTGATTGTATCACGATGCAACAAGGAACGGGGTTGGTCACCGACTGCGATGTCGGCACATGGGGGGTACTGGTTTGGTATGACTTGTGTCGGGTATTTGGCTTTTGTGTGTTTTTGAGATGCGTAGTTCACCCGATCGCGTTTTANGAAGGGTACAGCAATCCCTTCCTTCGCGACTTACGAAGTCGATTATGGTTTACTAACAACGAGCAATGTAGGGAAGTGGTTCTAGTCGCGTTTTACCTGCGAGCCGGACACTTGGCATTTTGTCTCTAGAGCGAAGGGCCTTAATTGTTAAACGTCTCGTTGGAGGTCGGCTATTGGTGTTCGGCATTGTCTTAGACTGGGGTGGGCGCTTTGCGTCTACATCTTTCTTAGGGCCGTTTTAATCATGGCTGACTTTTCCAAATTTCCGAATTCCATAAATTTGCAAGTCATCGAAAACTTTGGAATGGTAGCTTCCAAATTTTTGGAGAGTTTCCAAAGTTATTGCCTTCGAACTCGCCGCGCAAAGTTTCCAAATTTGGGAACATTCCAAATACTTGACAAGAAGGTGCTGTGTTTATAACGGCCCTGAGTATTGCTTTCTGGTAGCTCGTTCCTGACGTTGCGTGGTGCTTCTGGCGGGTTATTGTGTGTTCGGAGTGTCGATTGGCATGATGTTGGATGCCGTGCATAATGTTGGATGCTGTGCAGATCACTGCTGGTTGTACTGCTGTCGAAAATCATCGGGGGGGGGGGATGTGATACCATGATTCCCGCCGCAGTACATCAAGCACTGCTACTGCTGACACGAGGTTTTGGTATTTGATGTTTGGATTTAGGTTTCTTCTTGTACCACAAATATTTTGCTTTTGAGGGTCTTGATTTGGTTTATGTGTTCTGAGGGGATGCCCCGGAAGGAAGGGTGACTGTTGACTACCTGTTCATGTTTAGATCTCCGCAGTAAGTCGTAGGTTTTCCGTTGTGTTTCCGTACACATTGGGTTTTTACTTCGTCTTGACTGTACTGCATATATTTCTGTGTATTTTGGAGAAAGGATTTGATTTAACCTTTACGGACCTCGAGACACTATTACGAAGGAAAATGAGTTTGACATCGACAGGTTCAGGGGAGGCCCCACAACTATGCTTTGTGGGGTTTGATTGGATGGCAATAGCCTTGTCGCCATTTTACCTTGTGATAGTTGAAAGAGTTTCCTAAATCATATCGAGTACCGAGTAGGGGGGCTAGTTGGGGGTACTGAGCACTCGATTCGGATCTGCGGAGATCTACGGGATTTTCGTGTATCATCGTGATGAATGTGTGTTTGTAGAGGGGCGATCCCCCTTCTGCGTGCACGCGCTAGCATGCCCTGCGCACTCGTTAACGATATAAGGTCTTGAGTCAATCGTCTCTTCTTTGCTTCTGACAACAAGTTGCTCGCCCCAAACATGATATGCCTCTCCGGATTGAAGCCAAATACAGTGGGTGGCCCGATGAAGTGCCGGTTGCCGTTATAGTGCCGGTGTTTTCGGCTCGCACACACTGGAATACCAAGTCGTTCTGTACTTCGAATAGTGTCGGTGTCCGGTTTAGTGCCGGTGAATTTTCTCTGCACATACCGGCACTATGTCGGGCCACCCACTGTATAGTTCAAAAACGAGGTAAGAAAAAGGGCTGCTGGCTTGTAATTCTATCGCATTCAATACCCGCCACAAGCGTCGACAGCCCAGGCTGAAGGCATGCGCTGGTCCGCCTTTGGATGCTCGTTTTCGTGGGCTGCTTACTTTCCCAGCTGGCAGCGGGATGGGGTAGTTGGAGCGCTGTTGGTGCGATGAGCCGCCAGGGAGACCAAGCGTAAGCGGCGGGGGGGGGGCACTCATGACAGGAAATGCACCCCCCGGGGCATGCGTTGCAGTGTACGTCCCCCCCTTACACACACCTTGCTTGTGCACCGTGATCTGACCTGCAGGGTGTACCGAAGGCTGAGCAGCGCGTAACGTGCAGTGCCAGCTGCACGTAGATGTGAGCTTCGTCGAGGGGCGATGGGTACAGGTCCAAATCTTGCGGTGTGATCTTTTTGTGCCAGGCGAGGTCAGCAGAGGGATGAAGAAATGCTGTCGCGGGCGGCGTGCATGTCGGACGGCGTTGAAACTCGGCACACAGCAGTCGTGTGGACAGTGTTAGCGTTGGCTGTCCAAGTTTCGCGGACGTTCGTGAGCAGGATGTGGAGTTATCGATGCGGCAAAAATATCGTGTGCCGTACTGTGGGCGCAATTTGACGCGAAAACCGACCGAAACGGTGTTCGTTGCCTTGTTCGCTCGCCTCGCCACCGTCCTTGCCGAGACGTGCGCAGCACGCCTACTTTGTCCTGGTGCATGAGCCAGCGGCCACCATCGGGCTGTATCTTGCTCGGTTGTGGAGAACGCCGTGGCGAAAAAATGCAAGGGGTGACCCAAGAGGGGGGCCTCGGGATTTGTACTTTTTCGCTGCGCTGCGTGCGGTGAAACGCTCGGCGTGCTGGTGAGGGCTAGGGTGTGCGCAGGGAGGGCCGCGAACCTCGTTGTCGTGGCGTTGTCGAGGCGCTGTTGAGCTCAGAGAAATCAGCTGCGGCGATGAAGAGCAAAAAGGCAGGTACACCAAAAACACGTTACACGGATACTGATAAGGCTGAGGCTCATTCCTGTCAGAAAAAAAAATCCCGGAAAGGTTCCGAATTGGTCCTTTCATAAATGCAGGGAGGCATGTCGACGATATTTTTCATGTTTCCGTGAAAAGAGCAAGCAGGTTGTTTTTTCGTGCTTGCTCCATTCACGGAAACGTGAACAAATACGGGACTTTGACGGACGGATCGGGCAGGCGCACCACGGGCGCTAGCACCACTTAGAGCGCTAGCAAGACTGCCAGACTTATGTCCAGGCCTATCGCAAAGAAAGAGAAGCGGCAGAAGCCGCGTTCAGGTCGTTGTTTGTCCAAACCAAGTCATTGCATGGTGCTCTCGTCTTCAACTGCCGCTGTTGACGGGCGGGGATTTTTTCTATCACACACGACTAACACGGAAACAGTAATGAGCAAAGCAGCACCGCCGAGGCCTCCAACGCGCTGATTCCTTCGGTTCGGCTGTCTATATGATCCTCACTCCCGCCGCCGTGCTGCTTCGTGGGTATTGGGGGCTTGGGTACTGCTCAAGAAGGCGTGTGAGCCATGCGTGCTACATCGCCAAACTGCCGTTTGAAAAAATGCGGTGAGATGACCTGTTGTTGGTCGGACACAGCAAAACAAATCCACGGCACCACACAGCAGTGGAGCAATAGGGCCTCCGGCACGCTACTTCTTTCGGATTGGTCATGGATATGATACTGGCTCTCAGCGCCGCCGCCGCTCTATGATTGTTAAGGTCGTCTACCTTTCGACAGGGCGCGGTAAAAAATCGATGTCACGCTTCGGTCACCGCGGGCAAAATGAGCGGGAGGACTTGAGGAAACCGCAAACAACAACCAGTTCGCGACACTGCTCACTACCCCCAGTGCTGACAACAGCAGGCCGGGTGGACAGGGTCTAAACAGGTGTGTTGTCCCNGATCAGGGAATTATTGCCACCCATTCGGTTTCCGGGGGGTCGATAGGAACACGCCTGAAGCAAGATAAAATGGTTGCGTTTGACACCGGTGTCACTTCGATTGAAATTCCTTGTGCCGGGCCGTCGAGGCGTGGGTCGCGCGAAGGCTCCACCTCGATTTCGTGCGCGTAGCTGTCGCGAGCTACGAGAAATCGGCCGCGGTCAAGATGTCGTGGTCAAGAAACCGCTTTCAAACCGGTGCCAATGATTCTGTTGCGTTCGTTTGCTTCCGTAGCAGAAACCACAGGATTAGGATAAAAATGACATTCCACAGCTAGGGTGAAGCCGAGCGATTTGTTCTACAAAACGTGACTCATAACAACATTTGCTCCAAAAGATGTCCCCCACTACCGCTTCTAGAGCATTCATGACATTACTCCAATCTGCGTTGGTCGGTTAGNATTTGCTCCAAAAGATGTCCCCCACTACCGCTTCTAGGGCATTCATGAAATTACTCCAATCTGCGTTGGTCGGTTAGGAACTATTTCCAAGGAGTTTGGAGCTGTCCTGGCGACGCCAGGGTTTCGCCTGCATTATGGCATTTGGGGGATGCGAGGGTAATTCATAGATACAAGGTGGTCTGGTGGCTTTCGCCGCCTCGCTCAGTAGATCGATTCCAAGATACGCGATTAGCCAGCCGTACCAATGTAGTGAAAATAAATGAAAAGACGGCTTACTTTGTGCACCGAGAGAGGGCCTACTCTGGCGGCTTTCGCCGCCCCGCTCAGAACTGCTGTTCATGTATATTTCCGAAGGAAACCCGTCCCTCGCCAGAGAAATTTCGAAGAGAGTCGTTCCGAAGCGGAATTAAACTCCAACGAGACAGATTATCGTTGCGCAGTTATTATGTGGGACATGAGAGGGAGGAGAGAGACTGTAGTGTACTCTGCTACCTGCTTGTGCTTGGTTGGGGGTGTCTGCGCTGAGAAGGTGTTCCTCGACATATGGAAGTAGAGGCAGAGGCTGGGCCGATTGGTAATGAACGAACGACCGAAGGTGGGGGAGGAGCTGAGAGGGCGCCACACCACGATGCATCTTGCCTGTGTTTCAACCCGTAGTGGATAACCCGTGCACAACGGGTCCATCGACGTCTCAAACAGTGGAGCAGCTGACCGACACCATGTCAACTGCTGTCGGAACTGAGAAGAAACCCCGCCCCTCGCCCGGGAAATTCGGAAGGGAAGCGTTCCGAGTTACGAAGAGAAGAAGTGGAATAAAAGGAACATGAGGCGCCCAGAGACCCGGGACAGATGGTGCTGGTCCATGCGAATGCGAGCGGGGAGAGACAGACTGATGATTGTGTGTGAGGGGAGACAGAGAGACTGGAGTGAAAATGTGTGGATGGATGAGAGCAGCAGCAGATGAAAGGGATGGGCATTCCCGATTTAACCCGTCCGTGCAGAAGGACGAGACTGACAGGTAGTCAAGTTTCGGAATTGAAAAGCAACGAAAAGTTGTGGATGTTGAACGGAGTATACATACAGCAGTGGAGAACAACGGGCAACGCAGACTGGATGTGTGAAGAATGGATGTGTGTGTGACAACCCAGAGAGGAAGATGAAGGCCCCGTGTGAGAGGCGAGCGAAGGGAAGGAAAGGTGGAAACGTGACAGAGACAAAAAAAAGCGGAAAAGAGCGGCAAATTCACAGGAGTAGGCAGGAAATCGGAAAAACGGGGAAATGAAGATTGGGGAGACGCAGGCTTGTGAGCCGTCCAGAGAGGCCGAATGCAGCGCCGTGAGAGCCCGAGAGAAATTTATGCTTACTTTTCGAATGAATTCGAATGANAAAAAAAGCGGAAAAGAGCGGCGAATTCACAGGAGTAGGCAGGAAATCGGAAAAACGGGAAAATGAAGATTGGGGAGACGCAGGCCTGTGAGCCGTCCAGAGAGGCCGAATGCAGCGCCGTGAGAGCCCGAGAGAAATTTATGCTTACTTTTCGAATGAATTCGAATGAATCTTTAAACGTCAAAAGGATACTACGAATAGTGCTGTTACATAAATTAAGGTTTACGGGGGTTTTCGAACGCCAAGTGGAGCGTCCGTCTCACAGCGTGATAACGATTGCTGCCGCCACGATTTTGTCTCGGGGAGAGAAAAAACACCAGGACATCAACGGCTTCCGACCCACCATGTTAAGAGACAAGTTGCGCACCCTAGCACCACATNAACGCCAAGAGGAGCGTCCGTCTCACAGCGTGATAACGATTGCTGCCGCCACGATTTTGTGTCGGGGAGAAAAAAACACCAGGACATCAATGGCTTCCGACCCACCATGTTAAGAGACAAGTTCCGCACCCTAGCACCACACCAGTGGATGCTTGTTACGATCCGAGGAAATCTTGCATTTCTAAATATGCATATGACACAAAGAAAGGCCCGTTGTTTTTTCTTCACGGTCGCGCTTTTTGTTTTTCCCCGCCCGCCGCTCAACGAATCTCTGCATATGGTGTCACAAGAATCAGAGGCCAGAGAGAAACAGAGAGATAAGAGNGGAAATCTTGCATTTCTAAATATGCATATGACACAAAGAAAGGCCCGTTGTTTTTTCTTCACGGTCGCGCTTTTTGTTATTCCCCGCCCGCCGCTCAACGAATCTATGCATATGGTGTCACAAGAATCAGAGGCCAGAGAGAAACAGAGAGATAGAGTCAGACTGAGACCGACAAGCAGACCCAGAGAGACACACACAGGGCGAGAGCGGGAGTAAAAGCAGGGTGCAAAACCAGACCGTTTGCGAGGCTGTGCATCATCAGCCCTGTTGTGTTTGCTGGAGGGCTGATGCTGGTGATGTGGCTTCTTCGTTTGTTTTTGTTTTTCGGTTCCTCTACCTTGTTCTTTTTGGGTCTGAATATGACCCAACGAACCCATCTCTATCTAAGAAAAGAGAATCTAAGATAGATTAGCAATCAATTCATACTTTGACCTTGCCTGCACGCGGGCAAATTCATTCAAATTTCACGTGTGTGCCATCACTCCAAACCATCGAATCAGAAAACCAAAGCCAAATTTCATTCGGCTACACAAACTGCAAGAGAAATAATAGTAATTTTCGGGCAAGTGCACGCAATATAGTTCGTAGGTGGATCGTGTGGCACACAAGTATTTTATTGTTAAGCATCGATGTGCGTAGATCGATACTACTGCACATGTTCCAGAAGCCGCGGGACCCACGTTCTGAACTCGCTCTAATGTTTACTTTTGCATGCGCTGCAGGTGCCATTCCCCTTGAGCTGGGGAACCTTGGTGCCCTGGAAACGCTCGACCTGGGGCTCAACTTCTTATTTTTCTAGAACAAGACGGTCTCCGTAGATGCTGTCCACGCGCTGTCTACTGTGCGCCCCACATACTTCAGACCATTTGTCAGCTTGACTATAGCATAATTGGTAATAGTATTGTCCCCGGGGAGTGGTCTATTGTGGCTATCTTCCCCCCGTGAGATCCAGATGCGATATAGTCTGCCGCTGCGTAGGCGAGTACGAAATTTCACAATTGCGAAACTCGCGGGACATCTTTTGCTACGCACCAAACGACTCTGCGTACGCGTTGCGTTGGCGTCCACGAAACTTCAGAACTCGCGAGATAACGTTTTCTGTACCCTGCCAAACTGCCCTGCGTTGAATCGTTCATCTGCAGGCCATATCCCGCCTCAGCTCGGACAGCTTGGCGCCTTCCGGGACCTCTCCCTCTCCGGCAACAAGTTCCATGGTGAGTTGAACAGATCGAGAAGAGTTTTGTTTTCTTGCGAGTTCTGCCTGCATGAACCCCTCGTACTGCGTGAATGGACGCCAACGCATCCGCGGGATTCATCGACAGCAGATCATAATGAGAAGTCCAACATAAATATTTGATTGGAATGTACCTGTAAGCTTGTTGCTGGAGAGCCACAGGACCCGCAGCTTGCTGAGAGCCCCTAGCTCAGGCGGGATGTGGCCTGCAAGCGGACGGGGGGAACGGAAAGCTTAGCGGGACAAAAAAACAAAGCCCCCGCTTTCTAGAATATCGGTCCTACAACTTGAGTGGACGCGTAGGCGTCCGCGTCCATACACGTTTCTGTTGAAGCCTGAATTTTGAAGTCTGTGCACTGCTGCCTCCCGCAGGTTCTATACCGAAGGAGTTGGGAGACCTTACGAAGCTGGAGCAGCTTGTTCTGCACAGCAACCGTCTTACAGGTGAGAAATGACGAAAGTACGATTTCGATTTCGATTGGCTTCAGTAGAAACACGCATGAACGCGTTGGCCTACGCGTCCACGAAACTTCAGAACTAGCAGGACAACTTTTATGCCGCCAAGTACGTAGGCGGGACCGATGTTCTGGAAGTTCAGAAGTCGAAAGAACAATGTTTTTTTTTATCTTCTCAACTCATCCTCTAGCTTGTTGAATCCGAGGTCGAGGGTCTTGAGGGCGCCAAGATCTCCTAGCTGCCGCGGGATGTGGCCTGTAGATGAACAAGTCAAAGCAGGGCAGTTTAACGGGATAAAAGCAAAAGATACCTCCCGCTTTCTAGAAGATCCGTCCCGCCAACAAAAGAAAAATCCCCGCGCTTTCCGTCCAAAAGTTTCGTGGACGCGTAGGGATAAAAAAAAACATTTGTTCTTTCGACTTCTGAACTTTCAGAACATCGCATCCGCGAGATTCATCCTGGAACATTTTGCAAATATCACGTTGTGCTCCATGACTCACCGCTCAGCGGGTTGTCACGAAGGATAAGTGATGTCAATGCTCCGAGGTTTTCGAGCTCCGGCGGGATGGGGCCTGTCAGCAGGAGGGCGAATCAAATCAAGCGTGATAAAGAAACGAATAAAATATATCGCGCCTTTTTATTTTCAAGACAACTGATCTCCGTAGATCCATGGACGCGTAGGCGTTGGCGTCCTCTTGAAAATCGAGAGGCGGGATAAAAAATCTTGTTTTTTGTCGCGCTTGGTTTGTATCGCCCTCTTGCTCGCAGGCCCCATCCCGCGGGAGCTCGGGAACCTCGCAGCGCTACAATACCTCTACCTTCGAAACAACGAGCTAAGCGGTGAGTTATGGAGCGCAACATGAATTTGCATGATAAATTAGCAAATTCGGAGGAGACAAAAGAAAAATCCTCGTGCTTTCCGTACAAAAGTTTCGTGGACGCCAACGCCTACGCGTCCACGAAACTTCAGAACTAATCGAAATAACTTTTTCTGTACCCTGCCAACCCGCCCTGCGTTGAATCGTTCATCTGCAGGCCATATTCCGCCTCAGCTCGGACAGCTTGGCGCCCTCCAGGACCTCTCCCTATTCCGCAACAAGTTAGATGGTGAGTTGAACAGATCGAAAAGAGTTTAATTTTCTTGCGAGTTCTGCCTGCATGAACCCCGCGTACTGCGTGGATGGACGTCAACGCCTACGCGTCCACGAAACTTCAGAACTAGC